ATTAAATTTTATTTTTTTTGCCATATAAATCTTAATTAAATCAGCTTTTAGAGTTCAAAAGCTTAATCCTTATTGAGATTTTTTTTTTAAGGGTAATACTATAAGGATAATCTTTTTATACTATCTTTTTATATAACTTTTATATGTCATTAAATAAATAGATACATTCAGTATCATGAGTCTCAGTGGCGGAGTGACGGACTTAGGGGGTGCGAGGGGTGCTCACCCCCCTGAAATTTAAAAATCTTATAAATTAGTATATGAAAAATTATTTAGCCTTTCCTAAACTTTGAAAATTTTAATATTTTGGCCCTCCAAAAAAATTTCTGCCTCCGCCCCTGATGAGCCTAGTATGAATTAAAAAAATTAATTATTTTAATAACACATTAAATTGTATAAAAAAATAAAATAAAATAATTATATAAAAAATATTTCCCTTATTCTAATTTGGACTGTAATATCGAAGGCATATAAATCAAAACCCAAAATCTTATTACTTTTTTTCATATAAAAAGAAATATTTTTTAATGATATTTGACGGATAAAAATTACATACCACTAATATAGTAGTACAAAAATGAAAATTCTGTCTACCACACAAAATTCTGCCCGGAAGATGTGGAGGCTCTGTTTGGTGTTTGGTTTGGAGAAACTTTGACACAAAACTTTACTCTTATAGGTGTATTTAAGTTATTTAAAATCTTAATACTCTATTAAAATTAACGTAAAAATCATATTTTTAATCTTTATTTTTACTAATATAATTCTAAACCTATAAACTTATCTTTTATGCTTTTTGAATAAAAAAAAAAGTTTCTCTTAACTTTTCATGTAAGAGAACCATTTAACAATTTCCTATAAATTTTTTATATTATTTTTTATTAAAAATTAAAAATTAAATAACTCAATAAAATATTAACAAAATTTTATTCTTATATAATATCTTTTAACTTTTCATATATTAATAATTTAAAAAAATTAAAATATCCTAATATTAAGAATATCAAAATATTTAATTATAATTATTAAATATATAAGATATAATATAAATTTTAATTTTATCAAATTCATTACATAATTATTATCAAATATTTTGAAACTTTTAATATAAAAATATCTTAATTTTCTTTTATATATATATGTTTAATTATTTTTCTAATAAAACTTTCTCAATTATCGGAAACAGGCCAAACATGCCTTAAGAAAGCCGTAACCAGAATGTAATCGGCAAGCGGCAATAACGACGACAACCGCGTCATTAGTCACATTCAAACGAGAACAATACTGGCTCTGACCCTAACCTACAGTCAAACATTCAAACCCAGACGGCGCCTCACCCTCTTTCTTCCACAGTTCCGTAACTCTCTCCCGCTCCTCCTATAAATGTATTTCCCAATCCCACTCCTTCTCCACATTCCATTTTTCTATTAATTAAAATTACTTATTGTTTTTCCCTTCAAATTTTTTATTATCCATTGATCTTGTTTCTCTCTCCCAATCTCTCGGTTATATACTCTTTCCTTTCTTGCATTTCCCCTTCTCTTTGGCCTCTTTTGCGGGATAAAAGGGACCTCCGGTGGCTTTTGAGATTCAAGGTGAGTGTTTTGGATCTGGGTTCTTGAATTCATTTCTTGGGTGCCATTGTTGTGTCAGTTTTTGTGAATTATGATCTGGGTTTTCTCTTTTCGAGATTTTCTTCTGATGAATTTTTGAAGAATTTTGCTTGTGATGTGAATGCTGATCTGGGTATGCTAGAGGTGTATAAACGTTTCTTGAGTTTGATGTGAAATTCTGATGTGGGATTCAGAAAACCAAGCCAATTTGATATTTAACGGGTCAATTCAGGGATTTTATGGTGATAAAAATGTGAAAGATGGTTATTATTGTTATTTTTTTAATAATATGTGCTCTTCATCATTGATTCATTACGGACTATCTCGACGTTTGCCTGTTGAATCTTTTGTTGATTAGAAATCATTTGCTTTTAGGGGATCTCAAATCCTCACTTAGGAAAATATGACATTTCAATAGATGAATTTGATTTGCAGGCAATGTGTAATTTATTTTTACTTTTGAGATTGCATTTTTTATGGCATCCCATCTTGTTTATGTGTTTCTAGTATCATCTTATCTGCTTCAGATATTGGGTTACAGTGCTTTATTTGATCTCATAAAATGACTTTGATCTTTTACAGAGATAAAAATGGCTGAGCCAAACCTAGGGAGACCTTTGATCCTGCACTCATCAAGAAAGCTCCCTGATTTTAAGAAATCCGTGAAGTTGAAATATGTGAAGCTTGGATACCATTACCTCATCACCCATGGAATGTATCTCTTCCTGTCTCCTCTTGTTATTGCAATTGCTGCACAGCTCTCGACATTTTCTCTTCAGGATCTATATGATCTTTGGGAGAATCTCCAATACAACCTCATTTCTGTGATCATCTGCTCAACTCTCCTTGTTTTCTTGTTCACCCTCTACTTTCTGACCCGTCCTCGTCCAGTTTACCTTGTCAACTTCTCATGCTACAAGCCTGAGGAATCTCGGAAATGCACAAAAAAGATCTTCATGGATCAGTCTTGCTTGGCTGGTACATTTACGGAGGAGAATCTTGCGTTTCAGCGTAAGATCCTTGAAAGATCTGGACTTGGGGATTCAACTTACCTTCCGGAGGCTGTCCTCAATATTCCCCCTAATCCATCAATGAAAGAAGCAAGGAAAGAGGCAGAAGCTGTGATGTTTGGTGCCATTGATGAGCTTCTGGCTAAGACTGCTGTAAAACCCAAAGATATTGGAATATTGATTGTGAACTGTAGCTTGTTTAATCCAACTCCATCTCTGTCTGCCATGGTTATCAACCATTACAAGCTTCGAGGGAATATAGTTAGCTACAACTTGGGAGGAATGGGTTGCAGTGCAGGCCTGATCTCCATAGATCTTGCTAAGGATCTTCTCCAGGTCCATCCCAACTCCTATGCATTAGTTATCAGCATGGAGAACATCACTTTGAATTGGTACTTTGGGAATGATCGATCAAAACTTGTTTCAAATTGCTTGTTCAGAATGGGAGGTGCAGCAATACTGCTCTCAAACAAAAGCTCTGACAGAAGAAGATCCAAATATCAATTGGTTCACACTGTTCGCACCCACAAGGGTGCTGATGACAAGTGCTTCGCATGTGTTACTCAAGAGGAAGACTCAACAGGGAAGATTGGTGTTTCTCTGTCAAAGGATCTCATGGGAGTCGCTGGTGATGCTTTAAAGACCAACATTACCACATTGGGTCCTCTGGTTTTGCCAATGTCTGAGCAGCTGCTATTTTTTGCAACATTGGTTGGGAAGAAACTTCTCAAGATGAAGATCAAGCCTTATATCCCAGATTTTAAGCTAGCTTTTGAGCATTTCTGCATTCATGCTGGAGGAAGAGCTGTCCTGGATGAGCTGGAGAAGAACTTGCAGCTGTCTAATTGGCACATGGAGCCATCAAGAATGACTCTTTACCGCTTTGGCAACACTTCAAGCAGTTCTCTTTGGTACGAATTGGCCTATACAGAAGCCAAGGGAAGGATGAAGAAGGGAGACAGGACATGGCAAATAGCATTTGGTTCAGGATTCAAATGTAACAGTGCAGTGTGGAAGGCTCTAAGGACTGTAAACCCGGCAAAGGAGAAAAGCCCATGGATGGATGAGATCCATCAGTTCCCAGTTGATGTCCCCAAGGTATCGGCGATCTAAAGTAAGAAACTAGTGCTCCCTGTCAAAGTGGCAATAATTCTTTTCCTGGGATTTATCCTTAATTTTAGTGAAATGAGTGTTAGTTTGTGGTCAATAGCAGGGTGATTTGCATTTTATTATTTGATGATAGTCATCTCAGAGGGGTTTCTACTTTCTATGCATGTATGAGTGGAATCAGTCATTTTGCCACAATTTTGGGAAAACAGGGTTTCTTGGATGATCTTACGGCAAAGATTGTTCAGCATTTCATACTAAGATGACTTTATGAAGAGGCATGGCTATTATTTTCTAGATCTTTATGACGTGGTCTAAAGATTGGTATTGGGATTTGCAGCTGTAACTAATTTAATTAAGCAAGACCATGAAACTAATTTCCAGCAATGGTTCACTATAATCTTCTTTTAAGCTTTGTAGGGTAATTCTTTTGCGGTTTGTAGTTTTAACTTTTTACTGCTGTCGATTTGCTGCACAATTTGAGTCATGAAACTAATTTCAAGCGGTAGTTCACTCTAATCTTCCACCTATAATGCCATAGTGATTAGTTGTTTCTATCATAAATCCATGATAATTACCATGCAAACATGTATGTTTTACATATGATACAAGATGTGCAGGGTAGAGGCAAAATGTTGAAAGGGAGTTTATCAAAGTTTTCTTTTATCATTCTGTAGGAAAGAAAGCTGTTGAATTTGCTTGAACACCTGCAGAAGGGTGGTCATTCCTATGTATGTGTTCACATTTTGTAGCATTACTATTTTGAATCATTAACTTTCAAACATATAAGCAGATTAGGGCTAGGACGGTGACAAATAAGGGTGTGTTTAAGATTTGCCCCATCACACCTTCCGCCTGGCCATGCACTACCAAAATACTGTAATTTGATATAATTATTTTATCTCTTTGGCTGATAAATTCCATTATTTTTCAAGAATTATATAATGTACAATATTTTTAATGAGTAATTATGAAACATAGTTTTTACAATTGTACAATATAGTAGCAACACCAACAAGAATTTAATAGAGGTAATACTTACTATTCTAAAAATTTTAATTTGGAGTCAAAGATTGATACCAAACAGTTAATTCTTTGATATAAAATAAAAAAATTAGAGTAATGGCAACCATGAAACCATTACACAGCAATCACAGTGCACCCTCTTGGGATGAGGAACTGAGTTGCAGCTAATACAAAGGAGGGGTGAAATCCCTCAACAGACTCTGCCGAGTAGCTGCCTGAACGCACATTTGAGTCTCTGCAAGCTGCAACCGTTCAGTGCTCCCCATGCCATGAAAACACAACAACAAAGCATAGTTGTTGAAACTAAATCATTTTTTTTTTTTTTTTTTTCAACCAAAATTGATTTTTATTATTGAGGGTACACAGGATTCTCTAAATCCTTACACAAACTACGCCTTAAACCTTTAAGAGTAAAATCCACCTTAAACTTACCAGGGTCATTGAGGAACAGCTAACTAAAGTCAACAAGGCTCTCCTCTTTACAGTCAGAGGGGAATCGAAAACCAGCGTTTACAAGCAGCTGTTGCCAACAGTAGGCAAATCATAACATGAAATACACCAGCAACGGAAAAGATATAAGCACACTCAGTCAGGCTCATAGCCATTGCAAGTTTACAACAAGGCCAAAAGGTGAAACAAATGCCGTAAAATATGCAGATTTGTCGAAATGATTTCATTATATTAAAGCAGCATCCAATCTAATAATTAATACATCTGACATCCTAAAGCCAGTCATTTACATCAACCAGGCGTAACTACGGCTTCTAAGCCAAACCAGGATTGTTAATAGGCGTCATCATCCACAAAGAGAGGAAACTAAGTCCAGTACCTAGCAAAGAAATAAGGCATCGCTGGTGACAAATAAAATACATAACTGCATGATTCCACGTTCATAGCAGGAACTACAGAGTCCACAATTTCAGTGGGGAGATAAATTTTGGATGGAGACGTTGCAGAGAGTTCTGTATAAAATCATATGGGATCTACTCCTTGGAAGACTTATTAATTAGAGACTTGTGGATGTGAGGGATCACACCACCACCAGCTATGGTTCCTTTGATCAGCGTATCAAGCTCCTCATCACCACGGATGGCAAGCTGCAAGTGTCTGGGAGTGATGCGTTTCACCTTGAGATCCTTGCTTGCATTTCCAGCCAACTCTAACACCTCTGCAGTCAAATATTCCAGGATGGCAGCAGAATAAACAGCAGCAGTGGCTCCTACTCTGCCATGCGCTGTAGTCCGTGACTTGAGAAGTCGGTGGATCCGACCCACTGGAAACTAAATTGCATACAAAAGTAACAAAAATAAATTAAGAGTACACTGCATGCAACTAAAGATGTATAATATAATGATTTGCCAAAAGGGAGGAAGGAATAAGCATCCAATAATTTTTACCCATATATTGGTCTGTTAAAAGCTACATAATAAAAAACTATAAGATATTAAGACCCCAAATCATATTTAAAGAGTCCTAATAAATGCTTACACAGATTCAGCAAAGTAACAAATAAAAACAGATAATGAAACAAAACTTCTGCTAAGGAAATAAAGAATAAGAGCAAAAAATAATCTGGATAAACAGACTCAATCAACTAAAGAAAACTACAATGGAGTATCTCTGCGCTATCTACATTTGAAATGAACACACTTACAAGGACCTAGCAATCCAACCATGCTAGTTTACCATAGCCAAGCACAATGAAAAATCTTGGGTCCATTACTGCTTGTATGACCAGAAACTAAAGACATCTTAATGCAGCACCAAACCATAAGCTTCTATAATAGTCAAGTAAACTGCAATAAAAAGTCTCATATTTTACAACAAGCTCCAGGGACACTGCATTCCTCAGGAACACATTGATTATTTATAAAGAGGCATTAGTGCTGGAACCACCAAAATGGAAAAACTCAATGGAAGTTGCATTTAGCTTATACATTCCAGATTTATTTCTTGAATAGATGGGGAAGGAGAAAAAGAGCCACCATCACTACTCCCTATCTAAAAGGATAACGATAGCTGTGAGGAGTGGGAACTAAATTATCAACTACACCATGTTCACGACAAAACTACAAAAGGCTGGCTATTGCTTAAATATATATATATATATATATATAATATTTTAGCACTTCCGAGATTAAGCACCACCAAGAAAACAGATTCAGTTCGACATACATTTTCATCTGACAATATGGATATATTTACAGATTAAATACTAATGAAGCTTATGATTACTTCAAACAAATAAAAAAAAATAAAACATCACTAAAAAATGTAAAACAACGATTAGGACAAGAAGGATCTCCATGCGTATTAATCTATAACAGAAGCCTCAAGATCTTCTAGCATCTATAACTAGGACGTAATAGAATTATAGTTTAATATCAACTGTCAAGTTACTAAACCTTTTAAGAGGAATGACTGCATACCAAAAAACACGTAATCAGGTAGTACCTAAATGTGTAAACAGAGCAACCCAGACAAATTTCATATTCCTCAGAAAATAATAAAGCAGAAGTTTGAATGCTTCTACGTCCAAACAAACAAATCCTTAATCTTTTATCAATTAAATTTCATTATTTATCAACCAAGAAAGAACCCACAAGCTTGTGAACTTTAAATCCAACTTAAAATTTATGAACACTGAGAAACTGGGTCGAATTCCAAAGACCCATAAAGAAGAATTTCTTAACATGTGCAGAAGAAAATAAAAAAAATAAACCGCAGGGAGCGGAGGATCTACCTGGAGGCCGGCACGAGAAGAGCGAGAGACGGGTTTCTTCTTGTCCTTGTCTTTGTTACTGGCGGAACCTTTGCCCGTGATCAGACCTTTGGCGCCTTTCCCCGACATCTTTCCCGCCGTAAAGAAAATTGAAGAGGATGGGTAAATTGAGAGGAAGAGAAAGGTTTTCCGCTCCAAATATGGAAGAGGAAGGCGGTCTCGCAGTCGGGATATCAGAAAGAGAGGCAAGAGGGAGAGATCGGGAGCGATCGGGGTTTGCTGTGGGTGGGTCCGGTGGGAATAAAATAGCTTATGTAGGATTCTTCATTTTGAAGATTTAATAAAAATGCATATGCGGGATTTTTCAAATTTTTATTTTAAGAAAATAATTACGGATACCTTTTTTTTTTTTCAGTGTAATTTAAGGTAGGGTCAGCATAGGGTGTAAAAACCCTTATTATTTACAAGTATTTTACTTGTTTAGATAGATGCATACTTGAATTGTGAAAAAATAAGTAATAGATATAAAAATGATATATTCATAAATATTAAGT